GAACCAGCGGGATGGCGGATCCGAACTTGACTGCCTGCTCTCAATGAGCCAGTCACTGCGCTGGCGTTTATTGCAGCTAAAGATGCTGAGTTGCGGGCTTTGCTCCTCGGTAGCTGGACTACGTTATCTGCGCGGTGCAGGGGAGCTTCTTGGTGTCCTTTGGCAGCTTACCGATTGTGGGAACTTGATTTGCCAAGTCCCTGGTTGCACCAGCTCCCCTGAAAGCTTCGGTGTCACTCTCTTCCGGAAGTGATCAGCCTGCCCCTTGCTTGCCACTCTTCTGATGATCAGAGGGAACACTGAGTGAGTGTTTACATGTGCCGACGAGCCCTGACGAGCTACAAGTTCTGGCTCAACACATGAGCCTTTTTTTCTCAGATGAGGAAGTGGGTACCGGGTTGAATAACACGCGAAAGCCACCCAGCTAACCCGGGCGGGGTTATTGGTGGGGTTCGAGCCGGACAGGTGGCGGCAGCCGACAGCCCCTCATCCTCCACCTCCCGGTAGCTCATGGGCGTTGGGGTCGCCGCGAGGGGAGCCCGCCAGCCTCCCAGTGGCGTTAATGGCCCTCCCCACTTTCCCACGCGGCTAACCCGTCTGTAAACCTTGGCGTGCCTGGGTTGTAAGTCACATCTCTGTTGCTTATGCCAAATAAGGGGATGATGAAGGGGAGTTTCTGTGCGATGGTATTTTTTCTATCTGCTGTAGAAATCACTATGCGTTTTCTTCGAGAAGAATCGTGACAGCAATCAAAGAACTTCTCCATGGCAGTCATTAAACCCTACCAGCGAAAACCTACTGTTTCATCGTTTGCACTGATGTTAAAATTGGTTGGTGAGCCCATCATGAATTGAAATGTCTGTTTCAAGGATGAGACCTTTCAAAGCAACATTAGTCTTCATTTGTAAATTTAATTGGTTTGGCTTCTGTTTTTCTATAAAGTTACTAGCTTTCTAATAGCTAAGATAATAGCTCTTGTAAGAGCATTTTAAACTTCTTCAAGCGTTTTTCACAGTGCTTGCCATAAGTGACCCTCTGTATATAATTCCAAAAGCGAAAAGTTTTGATTTTGTCATCACACTAATACTGTGTTTGTTTCTGGTTCAGTTGTGTCAGTCTGTGATGCCTGTTGGTGTTGGCAGCTTTCTGACTTGGAACACTCGGTTTT